CCCCGCGCCGCGCCCGCTGCTGCCGCCTAGCGCGTGGCCCCGCTCTGCGGGCTCTGGACTTCGCGGGTCGGCCCTTCGGCCAGGCCTCTTCCGGGGAGGCGCGCCGGCGAAGCCCCGCCGTCAGCCCGCTGAGCCTGCGAGGCAGTGCTAAGGGCGGATAGAGTGGAGAGCGGTGTGCGCGAGCGACGAGTGCAGATGGCCCCTGCGCCCAAGGAGCTGAGAGTCCACTGGGGAGCTAAGACAAATCACAGATAATAGATTTTTCCTCTAAATAAGAATGAGGGCTCTGAAGACTGGCTGCCTGGACGCTCTGTTTAATTGCTGTGTGACCCTAAGCAACTTCTTTATCTTCTCCCGTGCCTCAGTTTCCAGGCCAGTAAAATGGGAGCAATAATGGTCTGTCCTTATAGGAGGGTCCCTAGGTGGCACAAATGTTTGCACTCAGTTACTAACCTAACAGTTGGCAGTTTACCCAGCAGTACCTCGGAAGAAGGCCCTGGCGATCTGCTTCCGATAAGCTTTGTTGTTCGACTCCCATTCATAGGGGCCCCACGTGTTAAAAGTTGAACTGCTCCATAGGATTTTCTTGGCTATAATCTTTACGGAAGGTGATCGCTAGGCCTTTTCTTCCACGGAGTCGCTGGACAGTTTTCAACGGGCCAACCTTTCCTTTAGCAGCCCATAGCAAACCGCTTGTGTCGCTCAAAAAACTATTTAGCAGTTCTTCTCTGTAACACATGGAGACGCCGTGAATCAGAATCTACTCGAAGGCAACATGTGCCATAGGGTTTTGAAAAGAATTTTGAAAAGTAACACTAGAGTACTTAGAGCAGTGTGTGGCACGTAGCAGGAAGGAGTTCAGTAAATGCCATTGACCATTATTAATATTTTTATTATTTTTGCCACTGCTCCCAACTGGCCATCAGAAATTGTAAGTTCCGGGCCTCTTCGAATTTGCAGGGTTGTAAGATATTTAAGTAACTATTTTGGGACATATTTAAAAATTAAAAATTGCCAAAACAATAACACAAAAATTGAAATATACTGTATTTTAAATGTTTCCACTTTGCAAAGTCACTTTGAGGACTAAGGTCATCCTGACCCAAGCCATATTTTCAATCACCTCATAGGCAGGCAAAAGCTGAACAGTGAATAATGAAGACCACAGAAGAACTGATGCCTTTAAATTATGGTGTTGGCAAAGAATATTGAATATACCATGGACTGCAAGAAAAACCAACAAATACGTCTTCGAAGAAGTACTGCCAGAATGTTTCTTGGAAGCAAGGATAGTGAGACTTCATCTCAAGCACTTTGAACATGTTATTAGGAGGGATCTGTCCCTGGATAAGGACATCAGCTTGGTAAAGTAGAGGGTCATTGAAAAAGAGGAAGACCCTCAACGAGATGGATTGACACAGTGGCTGCAGCAATGGGCTCAAGCATAACAACGGTCATGAGGATGGCTTAGGACCTGGCAGTGTTCCATTCTGTCATACACCGAGTCACTATGAGTCAGACTCGACAGCACCTAACAACAACACTTTGCAAATTAATGCTTTTAAAACAAAAAAATATATATCATGGAAAATGATTACAAGATTTTTAAAAAATGTCTGAAGTATACCAGGCCTTTGGTCTGGTAGAGACACAACTTTAATGCTGTAAAATCTTTTAGTCCTGTCCTTGGACCTCTGTGACTGTATGTAAGCCTTCGTTTGACAATAATATCAAAAGTTCCACCTTTAAGCTCACAAATGGTGCCCTCTACCCCCACCCACACAGCCACATATTCTACCTTGTACATTAGTTAATTGTGCCCGTGATCAGTGCCCCTAACAGCGTTTACCACCTGCAGCACTATGGTCATTTTGTACCCAATAATCTTTTGAGATGGTAGCTGTCCTGTACATTGCAGGAAATTTATGATATCCCTGGCCTCTACCAACTACATGCCAGTAGCAGGCCCTGCATCCTAGTCAGGACAATTCAAAGTATCTCCAGATATTGCCAAATATCTCTGGGGAACAAAATCCCCCTCGGTTGAAAACCACTACCTAACAGACTAGAATGCTCCATAGGGTTTTCTTGACTGTAATCTTTTCTTTGAGTGCTGTGTTGTTCTCTGCTGTTGAGTCTGCCCCTGACTCATGATGCCCCACCCACAATGGAACCAAGCGCTGCCCAGTACTGCGCCATCCCCATGACTAGTTGCCCGACTGCTGTGATCCATAGGGTTTTCACTGACTGATTTTCAGAAGCAGCTCACCAGGCCTTTCTCCCTAGTCTGTCTTAATCCGGAAGCTCTCCTGAAACCTGTTTAGTATCGTAACAACAAGCAAGTCTCCACTGACAGATGAGTGGTAGCTGTGCATGAAATGCATTGGCTGGGAATCAAACCCAGGTCTCCTGCATGGAAGGTGAGGATTCTACCACTGAACCACCGATGCCCTTGCATTATACATCTTTGTGCCATCCCCCACCCACACACAATGTCTGAACACAGCAGACACACAAATGTTTGCTCAATAAGCAAGCACCAGATAAGGCACACTGAAATATATCATTAGAGAGCAGGATGCAGCCAGCAACATACGTTATTCTCAGAAGCTTTGTTACCAGAAGTGGAATTGTTGAAGTCTGGATGGGGAGGAGAACACCGTTTTTTCCATGCCCTCCAAGAGCCAGGCACTGTGCTAAGTGATCTTCATGTGCTACTTCATTTTACTCCACACAATAATCCTATGAGTGAATTATTATCATCCTTGTTCTTCAGATTAGAAAGAACATTAACTGACACATGTTGATCGTATATGTGCCAAGCACTGTTCTAAGCCTTTTGTATTATGTCATTTAATTCTGAAAAGGACGTTTGCTATTTCAATGACTGTGATGAAGATGGAACCCCTGGGTGGTGCATATGGTTAACATGATCAGCTGCCAACAGAAAGGTTGGAGGTTTGAGTCCATCCAGAGGCACCTCGGAAGAAAGTCCTGGCAATCTAATTCCAAAAAATCAGACATTGAAAACCCTATGGAGCACAGTTCTACTCTGATATACATGGGTCACCATGAATTGAGATCAACTCGAAGGCAACTGTTCTCTCTCTCTCTCTTTCTTTCTGGTGATGAAGGTAAACTGTTTTATTTCAAAGGTCTGCATTCCAGTTCCAGCCTGACACCCAGTTTTCTCATGAGAGAAATGGCTGGAATACTACATCCCCTGCCGACCTCAAAGGGTTCCTGGAGCATAGTAGTGAGAGCCCCCATTGCCATTAAGTTGACTCTGACTCATGGCGACCCCACGTGTTACAGAGTAGAACTGCTCCACAGTGTTTTCTTGGCTGTAAACTTTTCAGAAGCAGATTGCCAGGCCTTTCTTTTGCAGTGCCACTGGGTGAGTATGAACCACCGACCTTTAGGTTAGTGTTGTTTAGGGTACTGTTGACTCAGAAAGACCTTATGTATAACAGAATGGAACATTGCCAGGTCCTGTGCCATTCTCACAATGATTGCTATGCTTGAGCCCATTATTGCAGCCACTGTGTCAATCCATTGAGTTAGGAGTCGAGTGCAAACCATTTGTGCCACCCAGGGACCTGAAAATAATAAGTACCTTGTTGGGTATTTATCTCTTCTAATAGTGAAGATCTGTCTTTTTCTTTTCATCTGTAGGCATTAGGGATGAAATATTTCCTAGTTTTAATCTTGCCATGTGGCTTTTATTTTGTAAAAGCCCTTTGTCCATGGTACAGCTCTGGACAAGGTTCAGAGATACTCCTCTTTATTTTCGGTGTGGAGTGAACCCAGATTATAAGGAAGGAAACTGACATCTCCATTAACATGTCCCTCTGTCGCCTCGGAGTTCTCCAAGTGAGGTTCCTGGAACTCCTGTTGGTTGACAATGCAACCTCCTGAAGCCCTCTGCGGACTTCAGGGATCAGCATCCCTGAGGGATGGGCCTGGGAATCTGCACTGTCAACAAGTGATTCTTGGGCATGCTGAAGTTTGCAAACAGCCAGGTGTTGGGCGTCAGCTCATAGAAAGCGGGATCCCTGAAGTCTGGTCCAGCTATCTACACCTCAAGATAAGAGCACGAATGAGAGCTCTGTGCCCAAAAAGGACATTTCATATAAAGAAAAAAAAAGGACATTTCACTGTACCAGTGTTGCCCAATAAGCAACATCCTGATAAACAGAGACAAGATTGAAGTTGTCAGGGATTTCATTTTACTTGGGTCCACAATCAGTGCCCACGGAAGCAGCAGTCAAGAAATCAACCAATGCATTGCATTGGGCAAATCTGCTGCAAAAGATCTCTTTAAAGTGTTAAAAAGCAAAGATATCACTTAGAGGGGTAAGGTGCACCTGACCCAAGCCATGGTATTTTCAATCACCTCATATGCATGTGAAAGCTGGGCAATGAATAAGGAAGCCTGAAGAAGAATTGACATCTTTGAATTACGGTGTTGGTGAAGAATCTTGAATATATCCTAGACTGTCAGAAGAATGAACAAATCTGTCTGAAAGAAGTACAGCCAGAATGCTCATTAGAAGCAAGGATGGCGAGATTTCATCTCAAGTACTTTGAACATGTTATCAGGAGGGACCAGGTTTCGGAAAAGGACATCATGCTTGGTAAGGTAGAGGGTCAGTGAAAAAGAGGAAGACCCTCAACGAGATGGATTGACACAGTGGCTGCAACAATGGTCTCAAACATAACAATGATTATGAGGATGGCACAGGACTGGACAGTGTTTCATTCTGTTGTACATAGGGTCACTGTGCGTTGGAACTGACTCAATGGCACCCAACAACAACGACAACTGTGGCCCAATTTTGCCCCTGAAAGCAATTGACAGAGTGACTGTTGACAGTCTCACATGACATTAAACTGACATTGTTAATAAAAAAGAAAAGTGAGGCCCCAGATTGGCAGGTTCCTTTGAGTACATAGGAAATTCACAAAGGTCACTGATCAATGTGAAATATACCCAGACTGACTAACAAAGATACAGGGAGGAGACACAGTGATCATAAAAGGGCAAACCCCGCCCTGCGACAAAACAATTGTTACCCATGAAACCATTTAAAGTTCACTTTATGCGGAGTGCAAGTTCACCAAAAAGTAAACTGCTCTTTACCGTTGTTTCCTAAAAGACAATTCTGATCCTTTGGGGTTTCCTGAATAATCAAGGTATCTCAGCCAGGTCACAAAGTCCGCCTAGCAATCTCAGGAAGGAAAAAAACCGTGATTTAATTGTGCTAAGGTTAGACAATGGAGCCCTGGTGGTGCAATGGTTAAGCGCTCAGCTGCTAACTGAAAGGTTGGTGGTTTGAACCCACCAGCGGCTCCACGGGAGAAAGACATGTCAGTCTGCTTCCGTAAAGATTACAACCCTAAGTAACACTATGGGGCAGTTCTACTCTGCCCTATGGGGTCACTATGAGTCAGAATTGACTGGACAACAACGGATTCAAGTAGCACAATGGTTAAGCACTTGGCTGCTAACCAAAAGGTTGGTGGTTCAAACCCAACCAGTGGTGCCTCAGAGAAAGACCTGGTAATCTGCTCCTGTACAGATTTCAGGCAAGAAAACCCTATGGGGCAGTTCTACTCTGTCACATGGAGTCACTGTAAGTCAGAATTGACTCGACAGCACCCAACAACAAGGTTAGACAACGGTTAATATTCTACTCTACATTCACTCCCTCTCTCTTTAAAACTCTTATTTTAACCTGCCTAGGATAGAATCCTCCATTTTTCTGAACAGGAGGTTTTTTTTTCTGTATGCGTACAAATTAACTGCTTGAATAAACCCTATATAATTTAATTTCTTTGTGCTTTGATTTTTTTTAATTGTTGTGCTTTAAGTGAAAGCTCACAATTCAAGTTAGTCTCCCATACAAAAATTTATACATACATTGTTATGTAACCCTAGTTGCTCTCCATGTACTGTGACAGCATGTTCCTCCTTTCCACCCCTGATTTCCCGTGTCCATTCAACCAGCTCCTGACCCTCTCTGCCTTCTCATCTCACCTCTGGGCAGGAGCTGCCCATTTAGTCTCATGTATCTACTTGAGCTAAGAAGCACACTTCTCACAAATATCGCTTGATGTCCCATAGTCCAGTCTAATCTTTGTCTGAAGAGTTGGCCTCGGGAGCAGTTTTGGGCTAACAGAGAGTTGGGGTGCCATGTCTTCTGGGGCCCCTCCAGTCTCAATCAAACTATTAAGTCTGGTCTTTTTACTAGAATTTGAGTTCTGCACCCCACTTTTCTCCTGCTCCGTCAGGGACTCTCTGTTGTGTTCCCTGTCAGGGCAGTCATTGTGGTAGCTGGGCACCATCTCGTTCTTCTGGTCTCAGGCTGATGAAGTCTCTGGTTTGTGCGGCCCTTTCTGTCTCTTGGGCTAATACTTTCCTTGTGTCTGGGGTGTTCTTCATTCTCCTTTGCTCCAGGGGGGTTAGGACCAACTGATGCATATTAGGTGGCCGCTTGCTAGCTTTTAAGACCCAAGATGCCACTCACCAAAGTGGGATGCAGAACATTTTCTTAATAAACTGTGTTATGCCAATTAACCTAGATGTTTCCTGAAAGCATGGTCCCCAGACCCCTACCCCTGTTACTCTGTCCCTTAAAGTGTTTGGTCGTATTCAGGAAACTTCTTAGATTTGGTTTAGTCCAGTTGTGCTGACTTCCCCTGTAGTGTGTGCTGTCCTTCCCTTCACCTAAGATAATTCTTGTCTACTACCTAGTTAGTGTGTTTTGCTTATTTTTGACAACATAAAGCAATAGAGTAAAAGTCAAAATAAAAACCACAGTACAAAATAGAATTAGGGGATATTTCATTTCCAATGCCTGTGGATTAAAAGAAACAGACAGACAGATCTTCAATGTTAAACGAGACACATACCCTAGCAAAGTGGTTATTATTTATCAATACGTTAGAAAATATTTTTCTGTCCCATTTCAGATGACATGAAAGGCATGGGGAGGGGGTGTAGGTGTTGGGGTCCAGGCTACTCCAGCAGCCACACAAACTGATTAATGTTTCAAATTTTACCCTCAGCAGATTGGCCCAGTGATTAAAACCAGGAGTCAGAAAGCCCTGTTTACACGTTTCAATTAAGAGCCTTGAGAACAGGGGTCGTTGCATGGTATTAGTGACAGTTGTGGGGATTCTAATAGCAGCGACATTTAGAGAAAGAAACGCCAGGGCAGGCATCAAAGAGATCAGCATTCGATAGCGTGCATTGCGGACAATATTCAAGCGCCAATTGGTCCGTTTTTGTTTTCCTCCAAGTGCATGCATTTTTGAGACTGGTTAGTAGCTCAGATCTACTTAGTTTTGCCTATTAATAACTTCCTAGTCATTATGAAGCCACACAAGGGTTGGTTAAATACTTGAAACCAGGAACAATTAAACCCTCTACTGAAACATTAGCCTAGTGGGAGGTGTAGGGTTACTTCCTTCGGTAACAAACTCCTGTACACTAGAGTCAGCTGAAGATCTTCTGTAAAGGCTTCCGGATGTGCTTGTAGTAAACACGGAGGCAGAGGTTAAGGGACGAAGAGGGACTTGAAATGATGTGTTTGGAAGAGTTGACCTTGGAACAGGGGATCGCCGAGTGTCTAGAAGATGCCAACACCCCTCGCTGCTGCTCAGAGACCCCGGGGATGACCTTCCGCGCCCACTAGAATGCCTGGATGGTTTAAGAAGGCGTGGTATGGGCTGGCGTCTTTACTCAGCTTCTCCTCCTTCGTCCTCATCATCATTGCCTTGGCGGTGCCCCACTGGCAGAGTGGGAAAATCCTTTGTCAGACTGGAGTGGACCTGGTCAACGCCACAGATTCAGAGCTGGTCAATTTCATAGGGGACATTTACTACGGACTCTTCCGAGGATGTAAGGTGCGGCAGTGCGGGCTTGGGGGCCGCCAGTCCAGATTCACCAGTGAGTATACGCGGGGCAGGAAAGCTGCTTTACAACACTTACCTGTAATCCTTTGTAGGGATGCTTACGTTTAAATGGAGAATTCAACTGCTGCCTCAGTCGAAGGCTTAACGTCAAAATCCACAGTGAGCCAAGGGTTCTTGTTCAGCACCAAGAAGAGATCTTTATTTTCTGTTGAGGCTTATAGAAAATTAGAAATAGGAATTTGTACATATTGGTTGTTTACCTTTATTAATAATAACTATGAAAATATGAGTGTTTACATGTGTCTAGGCACTTTACGTAGCTTGTCTCATCTACGCCTTACAACAAACTTTAGATAGAGTTATAAGGAAAGAATTATGCACATTCCCATTTTGCAGAGAACACTGAGGCTTGGAGAGTTTACATAACTTGCCTCAGGTCACCCAGCCAAGAAACAGCAGAGCCAGACTTTAGACCCAAGCCATGTATTCTCAATCACTCCAACACTCGGGTGCAGGTCTCCTGCAGAAGCAAGCCTTCAGGGAGCCTGTGAACTGCTTCGGCTTCCATTTATACAAGAGCTTCGTAGTCTGAGAAGGAGCAGAATGTTCTGCCCCTGGGCTCTGGAGTCCAACTCTGATGCTCGCTGGCAGAGAGACCTCAGACAAGGCACTTGACTGCTGTCTATGAACGTGAGCGGGCACAGGCACAGGCTGGCCTTCAGTGCTGCTCAGAGCTGCTCAGGGTGTAAACAGAGCGGTCCACGCAAACGCCAGCCAGGCAGGAATCCAGGCAGGGCTTAGGAAAGGTCTCTGGGAAGGAAAAGCCAAAAACAAAAAAAGGCAGTGTTCTGCAAACCTTTAGAATCGAACAATTAGATTGCTGGTGAGAACAGTGCCCGACAAAATCATAATTAACCAACGTAATGCTAAAGCAAGGTGATAGAGGATCTTAGTCATTATTCGATTTTTACATTTCAGATTTGTGGTAGTTCTTAGAAGCCTAGCCAGTAAGTATCCTCCTAAATGTATAAAGACAGAAAGCTGGAACCGTTGATGAATATCATAATAATACAAATGGACATCATTTAAATACATAGAGGAAATACCTATTTGTTATGCATATTCAGGAACAAAATACTAGTGGAATGTATAGGTTAGTTATATTGATAACCATGAGCGCACTGGCCTGGACTCTCTGGGCATAGTTATATTGATGACCATGAGCGCACTGGCCTG